AATTTACAAAGTGGTTTTGTGAAGTTAATTGTTATTTAGTGGAGTATAAAGAAAATTAACGAYGAAACATTAAAGTTGAGTTTTGTGTGAAACGGAGAATCATATGTGTAACATGAGCGCTAGGGCTACAGGTTGAACAKTGTCAAGGTTTAGATGAAGCCACTACGGCCGTAGCAGAATGGTATAATGTGCGTTAAATACAGTGTATACAAATTTAAAAATCTTTATTGGATAGAAGGTGAAGTACTTGTAAAGGGGTGCATCGAAATGGCCTTGCTCATTGTGCGATAGTGCAACCATCATGATGCATTGTTATTATGTGGGGGCTACTTGAAGTATTTTGCAGCTTTAAATGCAGTATCATATATACTTAAAAAACATAAATACTTAGCTAAAGTGTATTTAGTTGTTAATAGCTTAAATCGGCGCTGAAAAAGCAATGTATTGCAATTTTCTTTTTATTTGTGTATTCGCTTACGTTCGCCACCATTTTTTTATGCATTAGAGCGCCAATAACAACAAAGTAGCAAAACAAAATCAGCTGTAAAGGCAGCGAGCAAATGATTAGAAAAGAGAGTAGAGAAAAAAGCGGTAGCATCAAAAACTAAACGTTTAAGAGCKCAATATACTTCTGAAACAATAATAAAATGCTGTTTCGCAGCAAAACAATAAAAGTTTACATTTATTAAAAATGTCAAATTTATGGATATTTCAAGTGTTCAAATAAATTTTCAATATTCTGTTTTTTTTATTTATTTATTTTTTTTGAATTTTAATTTTAAGCCATGTGTTCTATTTAACGTGATGTGTATTTGCATTGAGACGGAGTGAACGCAGTTCTTTTTCAAAATATTTTAGTTGTAAACGGAAGAGCACTTAAAATCCGTAATTTGTTTTCAAACCTTCAGTAATTTGGGGCAATATTTATAACGCAACAGTATAAWGCAATATTTGTTTATTTCTAAAATAGGTAAGTAGACACCAATWTTGTTTGATATACATGTATGTATGTATGTTGGAATGTTATAAAGATTTGTTTATGTTTATCAATTTCTGCTTGAAGTTCTCTCTTCATCTCTTCAACTCTTTTTATCGATATAAAGAGAATTCTTAGCTGTCATTCTCTTTATTATTTTAACAACTTTCGCGTGCACTCAGCAGTTTGGTGAAATCAGCTGTTTTGTTTATAGCTAATGGTTTATATATATTTTGTTTATAGCTTTGTGCCTTAACGGGGAATCTCGACAGGCAACTTAMGATTGCTGAAAATCTATATTGCCAGTAGAGACTGCCAATTGCTAATRTTTAGCAATTGATAACCCAAAAACAACAATTTGTCAAAAGTAATCGGATCCAAATGCCAAATCAGCTGTTTTGTATTGTTTTTACGATTCAAAATAAAATTTTTTTTTGGAAATTTTCAATCAACGTTCGAAAAATGTCTATATAAGAGCAATAACCAAGTTGCATTAAATCCAGACAGTATGACACTACCTATTTGAAACAGTATAAGTGATTGCTATTCCATTTCTAGCACGATTCGTCATTCTCCAAAATTAGAAAAACTAAACACAATAAAACGTGATGTTCATTTCCCTCTTAAATTGTGTTTGAACACCGCCTAAATTGGCTAAAAAACTTTCTCAGTAGCGATATGTACATACATATGTATGTAGGTCGAACTTATCAAAAATAACAACAAAGAAAGCCTAATTTGGTTTCGAGCAATAACCAAAGTCATCTAAATAAGTTTAACAAATAAAAATGAATAAGTAATGATTTGTCTGATTCGCATATGTACATATGTATGTATGTACATACATTAAATGCACATGTATGTACCTTGACATCTGTCGCTGTTTGTAAAGCGATATTAAGTTTGTAACATCCAAAAGGAAAGGTTGAAAGTCCTATAAAATACACAAATAAATAATCACCATGACGCGCTTAGTCGATTTAGACGTGTTCCCCTGTCCGTGCATCTGTCTGTATATAAGCAAACTTCCCAAGAAGCTGCTACTACAGCACATAGAGCTGCCTTATAAACCCAACCATCAAAAYTAATTTCTCAAACGGAATTTTTTTTGTGAAGTATATTCCAGCTTCGGTGCAACCGATATTAACGGTTTTTCTTGTTTTTTCCGCTTATTGACTTTATGTYTGACATGCCAATCAKTTTTTTTTTTTWATTATTATTCTATTAACTTTTTTGCTAATTTAATTTCTAAGGAAAACTATCAACTACATTATACTAGTCTTAGAAATATTTCCATTTGAAATACAGTCACAAAAAATCGCACAATACTTTGGTGCTCCTCAATTTCGGATAGTGAGAATCTGGTCGACATTAGCTTTTCCAGGTCTAAAACTACGTTGAGAAGGTCCAATCAGTTTTTTTTTTAACACGCTCGATAAGACCTTGACTCTCCGATTTCTCCCCACTGTGGCACGACAGTCTTCATCGTTCCAGCTGTTCTTTCGACCGAGCTTGAAATTTCATCCCATTATACCGAGTTGCTGAAGAGTGGTCACAGAGAGGAGTGTAAATCGAATATAAAATCCTTTAGCTGTCGATTGTGATTATAGACACATATCGTACATCTATCACAACATGATCGATCTGATTTTGAACTTTTCAATCCAGAGACAGCCAAGTAGCATGATGAATTTTCTTGTGTAGTACTAGACTGCAGACAACCATATGTCGGGCCACTTTGAAATCAATCAGTCGCAACCCATTCGGCGAGTAGTTTTCCAACTCTTCTACCAAAGATGCCTTCTTTGCCACCCAGGCGGTGGCAGTTTTCATAAGCACTCTTTAGCCGCTCGTAAAAGGGCGCGAATCAGTGCTTGAAAAATTGAGCTCTGATGTGGATTGTGGCTATACGCTCATCTATCGGATTGAATGCTCGTCTGCGTCCCTGTTCTGTCCTTCGTATTTATTGGACGGCGGTGCTGTCAGCCTTTATTTACTAGAATGCTTATATAAATAAATTGGTAAAGCTTAATGCGCTGAAATATGGTTGACTAATTTGAAACTAAATATTCACAGTTTCTTCCGCGTAACTTATTATTGCGAGCCTGCCTCCGTTGCGTGTGTGCATTTTGCGTAACTTTACATGCCAAYTATTCGAATGTGATTCAAGCTTAACAATTTTATTGGCAACAAACTAATTTGTACTTATAACCATGCTTTACTCTATAACAATAAAATGCTTATAAAGTTRTCATTACTTTGACTGACTGACGTGGCGATCGACAGTTCAGAGAAAATTGGAACAATAGAATGAAATCTAGGTCGAATGTGATCGTGTAGATGACATGATAATTGTTATTTCGAAGGTCGTATTTCCGAGTATATTTCCTTAGAGCTGAATCGRCAGGATGGAATAGTTTTGATAGGCAGAAACACGGATATGACTTTCGACAAAGATGTTTTCACTTCTGAATTCTGGGCAACTCGCTAAGAAATTAAAATTATTTCCATTAAAGAATATTTCGTGCTGGGCTCGAAAAACTGGTACCTTAATGAAACCCAACGAGCATCCCTTTCTGTTAATAACATACAGTAAAGGCGAATATATAGATAAAGTCAATAATATGCCTATATACCTCATATAAAATTTCGAAGTTTCGAGKTAGCTTTATTTTGTATATATCAGACCAATAARTCAACATATAATRTTAGATATACTATAGTTTAATGCAAAAATGTATAAAATCGGTCCACATATTTAATTTGATCTACTTGAAGGTTCCCTACTTAACGAAAAAAAAAATTGAATGGGAAATGTTTTCTTTATCATTCGAAAGTACATTCTTCGGCATTTTTTATCTCCTTTTTTCTTTTTTCCGCGGCTACATCTCAGATGATCCATTCATTGAGTCCAATTTTCGATGACTCGTTTGAGATTTTGACAGGTAACTGGTGATTGAAAGCCTGGATCGAAGTGGGATTGGCCGCATAGACCTTAGACTTTACATATCCACACAACAAGAAGTCCAACGGTATGATATCACACGATCTTGGTAGCCAATCGAACGGCCGAAATGTGAAATTATCCGCTCGCCGAGGTATTCTTTCAATAAATCCATTGATTGGTGCGGTGCGTGAGAAGTGKCGCCGTCTTGTTGAAACCAAATGTCATCGAGTTGACAAGCTTAAATTTCAGGCATGGCGCKATAAGATTCACCATTGACGATTACGCTTCCATTGACATCACATTTTATGAAATATATGAATTATGAATATGAATTATTCCGCCGACCCACAAACCACCCTGTTGTTTTTTCTGAATGAAAAAATTAAAGCAAATTTTATATTGACAACGTCGGAGCCCTTAGAGCGAAGCATGTCACTTGTGAAGGTTGAGCGGTTTCAGTTGTAGCACAAACTGTATTTTGATCACCTTCAATTTAATAATACCCCAAGTCGTTTTATACGTCAGTCTGAGTTGCTGCGAACGGCGCCGCATCGACTCTMCACGTTCCTTGTCTACACTCTCAGCTACGSCTGCTATATTTTCTTCACTGCGTGCTGSACGTGATCTATTCGTTCGAATATTATTCAACGATGAATGCCGGGTCTCAAGATGGGTAATGGTGTAATATGCTCAGAAGACCGCTTAGGTTGACSATGAGTTGTGCAAACCGCGCGAAACACATTCCTTACAGAATTTGAGTTTTCGTAATAAATTTAAACGATTTGTAAACGCTGTTCGGGTGTAAGTCTTTCCACGATGAAAAACCAAACAAAACTGAACAAAAGTAACATGACAGCTTGACACGATACACGCATGATCTGTCAAAAAAGCCTATAGAAAAAAGTACTTCTGCTTTAATCACCCATTACTAAATTATTTTGTTTTCCTCACACTTTTTTATGGCAAAACGCTAAACGAAACTGAATGACTTTATTTAAAAATGGCGACACTTTTATAAACTGATGTGCTTTTTGAAGTGCTACCCTAGATTTCCTCATAAGTAAAAAATTGTTTTTTTGTGAACAAGTTTCATTAATTTTTTTTTTTATTTAACTATTTTAAACAATATAGAATTTAATGTTGTCTTCTTTCCTATTTTTTCATTTTGGCGAAATTGTTTAGACAATTTTACATTTCTTCTCCGCTCCTTATGAGCTAAATTACGCTAATTATGATAACTACATTGAAATTTGTTATCTAATATATCTAAAAGAGCAAATAAAGTGCTTAAACTGAAATATATTGTCTAAATTTTAATTTAACTAACTCTCTCTCAATATGAAATCTTCACCCCCTTGTTCAATTTGACTTTTGTTTAGCGGTCTTTGGACGCCGCGAACACCATCTACTACATATAAAGCTCCAACTCACAACCGATATGAATATAATGGCAGCAATGAATAGATAAATATCCAAAGAGTAGTAAACGAAGCGTGATACATGCACGGCGTGAGCTTTRAGAAGTGGCGCACCCTCGGTTTTGGCGACATATTCCACCCACCAGATGGCGGTCTCGAGTGCGCTCTGCGGACGATGTCTGTACGAGAACGAGACCGCTTTGGCATTATCCATATATCTGCAAGAAGTAAAAATTATAGATAACACTCACTTTCCACACTCTCTTGCACTCATTTCACTTACTGTTTCTTCAACACCTCTCTTATTGAACGCAGCACGGAATTCTCGGTGATATCGCCATATTTCAGCACCACACCCATACCACGATACTTTAATGCAGCCGCATTTACAAACTGGTCACCATACATGGGCGTAACCACTACTGGTACACCACAGTAAGCTGCCTCCGAGCTACCCATTAGACCGCCATGCGATAAGAACACCTTCACATTCGGATGACARAGTATATCACGTTGTGGCAACCATTTGCTAACRTACAGATTATCCGGYTTGTTCGCCAGAGTGCTGTTCTCCCACTTCCAAATCACACGTTGTTTGAGTCGTTTCACAGCGCGTACGATAGCTTCACGTTTGGCGGGCGGCAAAGTGTCGGCACGTATCATAGAACCCCAACTAATGTAGACCACACCATGTTCAGCATTATCGAGAAACTTTTGCAGTTCGGCATCCAGCGGCTTGGCCTTCTGTATGTGTATGCCGCCGAGATCGAGAACAGACGGTGGCAGCGGTTTGACACCGCTCAATGAGAAATGCTGATTGACGAATAGCATTGATGTTTCCTTCGCCAATTCGCCAACCGAGGGCATATCGTGTCCGAATTTGTGGCGTACAATGGCATCGATAGCGGGCGTGGTGTGAAAACTGCAAATAAATTATAGATTCATTATTGCAAAAGTGCTATTTTAGCCCATTGAATAGTTGTTATGGTACTCACTCGTAAAGTAAACGCATGGTGTGATCGACGAACCAGTTGGCGAGACGAGCGCCGAATGTCATGTCCTCAGATTGTCCCATAAATAAACTTGGCATAACTGATGGTACCATGGGTATCCCCACACGATCGTAATGCCAAGGCATCATAGCACAACTAAATATTTAAGTTTTTCAAATAAACAATTATTTGCAATTAGCGCTCTTTTCATAATAAGACAAAGATAACTTTGCTCACCTACTCAAACCTATGAATGGTGCCTTGAGTTGATGCGCCACCGCTGTCATGCAATCGCTATTAAATTGCTCCATAATGATCACATCGAAATGTTGGCGCTGTCGCAAAACCTGTGCCAAAGCATCGGAGCGCAATGTGAGATTGCAGGCGTCCTTCCCCCATTCGTGGAGCATGAAGAATTCCACGAATTGATTATAGAAGTGTTGCGTTTCAAAGAACTAGAACATAAAGAACCACATTAAAACTAAATKATTGTAAATATAATATATTATATGTAAGCTATGAATTAGTTGATTCTATTTATAATTAATTCTTTTTGCCAAGTCACAAAAAATTCCCAACCTCGAAATGTACGCCCGTATGCTCCTAGTTAAGGGCTTAATGAACTCCTCTTCACCTGCTTGAAGTGGAACCGTCTCCTAAGAGCATGAAGAGCTCCTTTCTCAATCACGTCGATGATATAAGACAATACACTTACCASACTTTGACACACACTGACCGCCATTCACAGTGGAGCTATAACCACATTCTCCCTTTCAGTGAACGGCGTACTTGGAGTCAAGCCACTACTCATTTCAAACGACGAGATCGAGAACCAGGTGTGGCCCTTGCGCAGCGTCCTTCTGTATACTGTAGCAGGTTAAACTCCTACTTAACCATAATCGACCCCGATATATTAAACATACATATGTCCAGCATGCATTGAGTCGTCTCTCTCTGTGCCTACCTGCGACCTTGACCATCTGGTCAAATTTGACACAGACTGACAAAAAAAAAAAAAAAATATTTTTGCGTATTTAAAAAATTAGTCCAGTTTTCCATACACTTGTTATATAGTAAGTCTCGGCTGGGTTTGTCTTGAGTGCCTTCAGCGCATTTTGTTCTTTTCCGGTATCGACTGATTTTTGGAGCGTTATTCGGTTGGGTACTGAACAGCTTCGAAGTTATATTCGTAAAAACACGTCTCGTCACCACTAATCATGCGTTTGATGAATGTACGGTCCTTGCTACATCTTTTCGTACGAGTCAAAACTTTTGCAAAATTTTCAACGAATCCGTATCCGTACTTCCATTGCGATAATTTCAACAACTCGATCATGTTTTTGATGGTAAAAATAGTCAAACAAAGTTTTCCATGGTAAACATTTGCCACACATACACTATTTGTTATTTGGAGAAACAACTTCACACAAACATATAAAGAGGCTGTACAAATCTCAGAAATGTTTTTTGTCGCGGAGTGTAAACGAACTAGTMCGGGTCAAATTTGATTAGATGGTAATACAAAGTAAAAAAGTAATATGGGTGCTTTCACATATTCTTGGTTCGAGTTATGAATCACAACTACTTGATTTATTTCTATATTTAATTATAAACAGAGGATTTTAAGTAGAAATGAGAACATGCTTTCTGAATTGCTAATGCTAATATGTATTTACAGTCAGCTTTTCCATTATTTCCAGMGTCTAATATTTCAATTTAGATGTAAACTGCTTTGCAGTTGGAGCACGTTTTATATACAGTCTTCCATAAAAGATTTTTTTATTGTACAAATAATATTTCTCTTATCTTATTCTCTTATCACTTTCATTCAGTTTGGGCGGGTGGTGCATTTCAGTCTTGGGTGCATTTTCAACTCTATTTCCTTAATATATCGGTTAACCACCTTTTGGACTGTTGATCGACTGCGCGACATTAGCTCAGATATTTGTGAATAAGATTTTCCTTAACTTATATGTAGATATTATGATTTCCCATTCTCTAATTGCCAACTTTTTTCGGTACATAATTTCTTTTTATATTTATCTTTAACAGATTTTGATTTACAGTAACDATATTGAATTGTCAGATTAAAAGTTACCAACAAAAACGAAAGCTTCTCTCTGATAATAGTAACCAAAATGCTGCATTTCATAAAAATTAATGAGTACTGTTACTGGTTATACGCAGATTCTAATTCACTCTACCTTCATTTTTTTTAAAGACTGTATCAGCGAAAGCTTACAATTATTTTAGTGTGAACTCTACATATATTTCACCGTTCGTATAACAAATTGAAACGAATGTAATGATTTTCTAAAGTTTTCTTTGAACTTTTTTCTTTTTTTTAAATCTGAGTTCAAAATCTGAGAAAAAATATATTCACATATCTTAGAAGCACCCTAATACATACATAATATCATTAACCTAAAAGACAATGCTTTTGTAGCATTTCCGCAAACAAAGTTCACTGCTTCAACCAACACACTCACGTACAGATTATACATTCGAGTCTAGACATTGAAACATCAGTGACCGAAGCTACACRCAAAAGAGAATGTCAAAATAGTACAAAAATTAACCGCTTAAACAAAAATTTTGCACTGTCACCGTTAGTAAGCAATTAAAAGCAGTTACTCTCACGAAGAAAAACTGGTATATCTTTTATTCAATTAAGCCGATACTTTGACTTACCTTCAAGTCCACACTATTTGCCAAAGTTTCATGGCGTGTTAACGGCAGATCTCTATAACGAGCCGGTGGACTTTTATCGGGAAAATGGCTTAATACAGTAACATCATGACCCTTCTCGGCCAAGCCCCGCATAATGGGGTGGAAGAAGTGGAAGTGACTAATGCCTGGGTGTGGAAATAAGCCAAGTATTTTGAGTGGGTAACTGGCTTGCACCAGTGTGCAACAAAGGCCAAGCAACAGCAACAAGTGGCCGGGCGTTAGTCTCGCCATCCCTAGAAAAGAAATGTGTGTTTGGGATTTAATGGAAGGGGAAAACATATTAAATGAGTTATAAATTGAAATTATTAAATATAAAAATTGAAAGGTTACATTGGTCTAACGCAACCGTTCACGTTGCGAAATAAAACAATCGTGTTTAAATTACACTAAAAAAAAATTACTTGATGATTCGCGCAATATATAGTGAATTTATAAAACGATTCACTGAAAAATTTTCATAATTTTGTTTACAAATCATTTACTTATCTTCCTTGATCCTAAAAGTGAAAACGAAAGAAACGGAACCGAAAAAGCGTTTGAAATAATATTTTTAATAACAATTTCGAAGCGTACAATTTTGATATTATTTTCTAAAATTTAATTTTTTTAAACCTATCGATTAATATTTTATGCTTTTTTGTTTATTTAATTTAAAAGAAAGCACTGAAAGAGCTTTTTAAAACATAAATAATATTTTTAATACCAATTTCAGAACAAAAAGTTCTGACAATATTTAACCCATTTTTCTAAAACACACATTTTGTTAAATTTAAATGTTTAAACTAAGAGCTTACTGTTTAGCTTAAGAAATTGATTTTTCATTAAATATTTGTTATTGACGTTATTTCTTTTATTTTAGTTGAATATCAGTTCATGGTTTTAAATTTTTTTTTTTT